TATCCCATTCCATTCCATTTCATTCATTGTCTCACACAACCTTACGAATCCACTTAACCATCTTCATTCTTCTATCGTTCATTAATGAACAAATTCTCTGTTGAGATTCCATTCCACACAAGAGAAAAGTAGAGCCAAAAAATGAATAATGAGTCTAATGGAAGGAATCACACTGCCGCTGTTTTGCTGGCTGCAGCAATACAGCTGAGTAGTCGCTACTGTTTTAGGTTTTTGCAATGAATCGATTTCGGATAGAAAATTTGTTTCATCAGATATACTTTGTATATGCGGAGAATTAATTTGGATTCGTATTCGTTCCGATTCGGATGGTATGTTTTGTATGTATGCGATCAGTGTGAAATCTTGTATGTTTGGGCAAAATTCCGAGGTGGGCAAGCCGGATCCAAAACCAATATGCTCACGCTCCCCATGACGTTTTTTCGTCGCAATTTCTGATCCTCACCTACAGTAGATGAGGATAAGTACCATTGCTTTTCGACATTTTGACTGATTTATCGATGTTTCGAATCGAATGAGTCGCAAGAGTCTGAATCAGAAAAGCCGTGAATAGATTAGCTCAAATTGGAATCACTTGTGTATAAAAATCTTCGAGGTGTGTAGCTTGTGCAATTTTGTGTGTATATAAATCGAGCAGATGTGTAGCTGTGGAAACATTCTTGATATAATCATGGCGTATAATAAAGTTAATCGTGTATATTTCGTTGCAGAGGGTAGTGTGCTGAAGGAGAGAAGAGTGAATAATAATGGGGATATATGTGAAATTACATAATAATTAAAATGCAATCAATTCACGCTGATTGATCTCATCCATCATTCGTACACAAAGCAATTCAATAAACTGCAACTTGTGAACTAGATAAGTATTGCATGAAATAAGCATGATAATGATGCACATTTATGATGATGAAGCAAGTGCCCAATGAAATAAAAACACATTAATTCGTTCTGTCATCAGCACTGAATAATGTGCATTACGCACGGGCACGTTCATCCGAATTAACGATCTTAGATGAATTTTTGATTGTTTGTTCGTATATTCTTTGATTATTGATAGTGGGCAATAATGAAATCCTGATCTGTGATGTGTTGTTTTTCAACGGATTATATCTCCTCATTCCATTCAGTCCAAACATTCATCGTTGATAGTATGTGTATATATTAAAGCAGAAATCAATTTTATTTAATAATCACTCAATACCACTTCGACAACGCATTTTTTTTCTCAGTTGAATTTCATTTCTGAAATGATGGTATTTCGAGCAGTAATTCATTCATCATATTGCATTGAATTCGGTTCATTTAGACGAAGCTGAATGTGCTAGAGGTCGATAAAATTTATCGATATTTCATGTGCCCGTTCGTTCGTATCGATCGTTTGTCACTCAGTTTGCAATTTTTTGACTGCATTTAAGTCATTATGGGTGGTGCGTGCAGCAGTTTGTTTCGGTAGGTGTTTTATGAATTCTCGGTGCTTATAAGAAGGCTAGCAACGGGTTCAGTCGATCAGCTATCTATAAGAGGACGAAAGAAAAGTTGTAATGCAATCACTTGATAAAATCAAGCACTGCGATCGGCGATTTTCGATTAAAATTTATCTCGTAATTATTTTTTACAAACACACGCCGATTTGACCATGAAATGTTTTCTTTAGCATTAAACAATGAAATTGAATTCTTCAGTTGTGTTTGCATTTGGTGATAAACGACTGTGATGTGTATCTAGTGACTATCAGATTTGAAGCTAAACGAAATCAAACTAGGCCAGCACCATTCATTAATTAGTTTCATGAATTATCCTCGTGTATTTTTTATCAGTCCATTCCATGCCCTCATGAACCATTCCATTCAACCCATCAATGAACGCTCTATATCGTATTTCAATTAAAAAAACTCCTGTCATTCTGTGCAAGCACTTACAGACATTGCTGTCCATTCATCAATTTTAACAATTTACCCGTTCATTCTCAAATAAATTCATTGCAGTCTCAAGAATAGGTTCACAACCAGCGTTGTCTACCGATATATCGGACTACGGAATTCGATTATAAGCTTCATGCTTTGAAGCAGTTCAGAGAAAAAACACAGACATAATTTGTTTATGGCTGTGTTCAGCCAACTTCTTTTCTACCTCAACATTTATTTTGTAATTTCCTTGATCGAATGTTCTATATATGTGGTCGACAATTACGTTTAAAATCTGATGTTGTTAACCACCGAAATGAATGCGCATTAGTTCATGGCACGAAAGTTCTGTCGCTATCCCAATATTCGACCAATCTAACGGGACGCTGATTATTCTGAGTGCAAATAACGAAATTCAATGATGTCAGGAAAGTGTTATCGTTTCTGTTTGATTTCATTGAGTGCGTTTTCCTTAGCCCAATAAATTTATGAGTAATTTGAGTCTTTTCTCGTATGTACTCAACCAAAAAATTGTTTCATTTTCAACAAATTGATTTCGAAACGACAATCGATAGTCATGAAGATATGTATTCATGAAAGAGGTAGTGCTTTCAATCATTCAAATAACTAATTATATTCTCTCAACTAAATCAAACTCCAAGAATATTTCATCATAACTCCATCCACTCAATGCATTCATTTATTTCACTTCACTTCATTCGTCCATTTGCATAGCAAACCTACTCAGATAAAGGCGACTGTAATATATCCGAGTGAATGAAGATTGCTTCATCTAATTTATGTGATACTTTTGATGGTCAACCCCGAGAGCATTCATTCTTTGAGACGAACTCAATACAAGCCTAAAGTAAAAAAATGTGACCACAAAAACTAACCTAAAATTGTCCGTGTTCATCAAATTTCTGCTTGTTGTTTACCAGTATGTTCCAGACAGTGCTTCTTGTTTGTCTTGCTGAACTATCTCTTCATGTCTTTTTCACCGCTTTAAAACTATCAGCCTCTGCATATAATCAGTTTCCCAAAAGTGGTATCTCAGCAATAAAATGATTATGCATTCTGCAATACATTCAACGAATATCATCTTTCACGAGCCGTTACTCGTTTACTTTTGAATGTTTCACATCCACTGCAGTTGGTTGTCTCAAAATCCCATTTAAGTGACGTGAAGTGAAGAGATTTTCTTGCTAAATCATAACTAACTTTGCATAATTCTGTCATTATCGGTAAAGTGCACATTCATTGAATGTTTTGTATTCATTTTGAAGTCGACTCCAAAATTGATGTTTTTATTTGGAAATCAATAAATATATTCATGCATGCTAGTTATTTATGGTTTTTGTGTTATCACCGTAGTATTGAGACTTCATCGAAATGATACTTTCAGTTTCGAGAATGAGCGTTCGTGATTGCTTTGTTCTTTTTCACTCTTCAAATGAATAATCATCGCATTCTTTCGCATCTTGGCAATTTTTTTGAAAATTCATTAGAGTCTTAGCAGCTGCACGTTTCACTTCATTTTGATTTGCGGCATTAAACATCAATGATGAAATTGAGCGTATTAGATGATGTCTATTAATAGAACGTGATGCTAGAAATTTATGATTTTTATCGAATATTTTTATTTATTGATTTATTCATTTATTCATTCATGCATCCATCAATTCATTTTTATTGATATCATCATTCATTCATTTATGTATTATGTATTAATATATTTCAACAAGAGTACTTATTGATAAATTCACTTACCTGCGTTNGATATTTTTCTCGTTAGAATGTTCAGATGGCCGTTGTTTGCTAAAACTCTTGTTCAGTGTATATTCATTCGTATTTATAAAGACAAGTTAAGCTTGTTGTCAAAGATTGCATGGTCAATCCACTTTCATAGGAAAGTGGTTAAATTAGCATTGGATGAAGCAGATGGTTGCATAAATTCAGAAAGAACTATTTCACAGAAGTTTTTTTTCGTCGTAGAAGTTTCACCAGCATTAACCATTCACCGAAAATTCCTGTGTATCACATCATTTCAGTTTACCTCGAGAAGCGATCTTTTGAAGTTTACCCACCTTGGTTTCTCGCAATTCCGAATCATTAACTTTGTTTAGTGAATTGTCAAGACTGATTGGAAGCTTTCGTTCACTGAATCGCCGTTTCTTTGAATGCTCCGAAGAGGAGTTTCATGCGACAAGCTAATTGTTTCGTTTTTAGGATTGTTTTGCATATTGATGTCGTTGTGACATGTGATCCTTGTTTTTCGTTTTAATTAGTAATAAACTGGCGTGAGTAATCGTATTACGAACCAAAACATCGAACGGAGAGCATTATATCGACGACGATTGTAGTGCTAATTATTGTACTATTAGCAATAGAAGCGACATGGATCATAATGATTGTGGTACCAAATTCCTGCGGCACTACAGCGAATAGAGAGCATTACTACTGATGATGGAATGATAAAAGGAGATGCAATTATTGTGGCAATAATTCTAACCAGAATGTAGTTATTATAGGAGAAATAAAGAAAGATTGCTACTAGTCGTTCTCTGAAGCTGAAATGTTCCTTAGCGAAACAGATTTGTACTTGTCGTGTCGTGCCTTGTTTAATGTATTGCTGACTGAATCCCCTTAATGGAACAACTCATTTTTAGGTGTCAGTGAAATAGAACGATGCTATGATGTGAATGCTTGACGGTGCATAAATACTATTCACTTCCTCATTTCTATCAGCTCAATCGAAATATATTTGATTCTGATATATTCCGGTTTTGATTGCAGAAATAATTGTAGAAGGACAAAACAAACAACGTTCAGCATTACATCTGCACAATATTCATCTGAAGCAGTTGGATTATTTTTGTGAAATATTCGAGAGATATCGTAGAGCTGTTTTGATCACTTGCAATATCTCAATGAATCAGTCGTAAAACTGGGTTCGTTCAGTCAACACTTATCACACCAACGCAAACGACTTGTGGTCGTTCGTGGTTGTGAGCACTATCGATATCATAATCTTTATCCGTATCGGCATTCGATCACATCTGACGAAATTCAAGCAAAATGCGCATCGCTGACTTGAAACGTGCTGTTGAAGATGTCATCTTAAGACCGGATGATAATCGAATCTCCGACATTTCAAAACGTTCAACTATTGCTGCGTTAGATCTCTGTCAAGTAAACACTCACCTATCAGCTTTTTATTTCGAATGTCACTTCATTTCCCGACAACAGTTTGTTAATCGTGTAATGCAAAAAATGCGTTCTGTGTTCAGATGAAATGTCCATTTTAGTTAACAATAACAAAAAAAAGTATAAGGACTGGCTTTCAGCTTATTGGATTAAGGCTAACTGCATTGTTTCGACACTGAATACCTCTGAGCTTAGCGAACATTTGGTAACTTAAAAGAACTAGAATTTGTAATTTTCATGTGGCTGCTGGTGATTGCGCGATGCACAAGTAATCATTGTGTGTCGCTATCAGAACACTTTGCGATATAGTGTCGCCGAGATTTTTGCTTCCGAAAAGTGATCACTTGAGTGTGAAGTAAACATTAGATACATCGTACAACGTAGGGAAAAATAGTTATTATCTGAATCTACTCGAAAGTATTCGCAGCACAAAAACAAATTCGAACGCTTCAGCTGGAACGGGTCTCGGAAACGAGTGGAATGGGGATCGGCACGGACATGCAACAGCACGGTTCAGCCGCAACACTGACGTCGTTTTCGTGCAGTGGTGAAATGCTATCAGGTTGTGCATTCGACGAGAGGAGTGAAAGTACCTGCAGTACTTCGGTTACAACCTCAGATACACCCTCTGTCAATAAACCGCCTCTCAGTATGAGCACATCTCTAGATACTATGGTTTGCTCCAGTCTCTCTAAACTTCCAAATGTAGATTCTAATCATATGGACCAGATTCTGCCAACATTTCGCTATTTGTGGGTCGTGCTGAAGAATTCGAGTCCCTTTTGAGGTCCATTGATTATTTTTGCAGTTCAGTTGAGAACAAACATGCTGGTGTTTTTTTTAACGACCACAGACTCAATTCTACGCTAGTTTATCAAAAACGTTAGAATAAACGTTAGTATAGCAATGGATAGTGATGAAGAGTTAGAAGCGAATATTGCTTTCAAATACTAGAAGCGATTGTTCGAATCGGTACGTTTTATGCAGCAGTGGTGTGATGATGAATTGATTAAGGTGCATCGTCATTCGATTTCGTGTCGACCTTCATTGGCACCCTCTCGTCGTTCAAGTCGCATACTTCAACATCTGAGCCACAGCAAACGTAAACGTTCAAATTCAGTGTCGTCGTGTTTGAACAAAGGGTACTTTCATCTGATCGATCTTTATGCATTCATCTTTTCGCATATAAATCATGTTCAGTTCATTCAATGGGATAGTATTTTATTGCGTTAACATCTCTACGAATCCCAAGAAACTGATAACTTCCAGAAATGCGAGTGATCAACAGATGATATCAGTGGGTGATATGAATAATCCGTTGTTGGATAATGAGTGCATTCAATCATCGGCAG